TATCATGAAAAAATAAATAAATAAATAAATTCAAATAAGGATAGAAAATTTGCAAGAACTTGTGGGCTCAAAATTGACGCAGTCGAGGTGAATGTGTGATTAGTGCAATTTGACGTGTAGTGATACGAATAAGATAGTCCGTTTGGTAACCTCCTGATTAGCTACTACTTTCCTAGCCAATTAATGTTGTATCAATTGTATACCTAAATTCATTTAACCTATGAGTCGCGACGTTTTATTATAATGAAAAAGAAGGTATTGAAAGTTTTAAATGTGAGAGAGACATTAATATAGTATTGGGCCTCATTTAGAGCTGCAATCAACAAGATGAATCCCAGTTCACATATTACGAACATCAATATGTTTACTCCTCCCATGACACAATATTTGATATATATATGTAGCTCATTATACCTGCCTATTGCATTTTTTTTTTTTTTTTTTTTTTAAATATATTTTTGTTTTTTTTTTTTTTTTTTTATCAATATATATGTTTTCATTGGATCTAGCTAGTGGATATTTCCACACGAAAGGATGGCATATCACAACAAATAAAGCGTTAATTAAATAAGTTCAATTTTTGTGCTAATTCTTTTTTTTTTTTTTTTTTCTGCGGGGGGGGGGGGGGTGTCAAACAAATGCTCATGGAGATCCAAAAATACCTTCAACTTTGGTTTGAACTTCAAATTGATAATCTATGGTCAAAATATTACTTGGACTTCTTTAATTAGCTGAAAAGACTACTTTAAAGTTTAAAATATTATGATGACTTGGTTAATTCATGTTTTCTTAATTCATAAGGAAAGACAAAATAGTATATAAAAAAGATTGGATTATTTAGTTGTATTAGAAACACTCGATCGTCAAAGTGAATTTTGCTATTTTTTGTTCAAAAGTTTTATGATAAAGTATGCATATTTTTAATCTTGCATCTTTGTACTAAATTTATCTAATCATAGTGTATCTCTTTACTATACATGTGATTTAAATGTTTTGTAGACATAAAATAAATAAATAAAATGGATTGGCTTGATTTAAATCATTAGCTCAATTAAATTAAAGTCTACTAAAATCCATAAACCCAAAGCCCCATCTCACTCTTTATATAAATAAATAAATAAACAAATAAAAAATCATAATTACTCAATTATTCATTTTTAATTAAATATAATTGATTAGTTCATTGCGTATGTTCAGAGTGTCCCTTCTTATGTTGTGATATTCATTTGAGTGATTAGTACTTATATCTTTCGACATGTGAGTAAAAGCGTTGCTCGTGCACTTTCCACTAAAACAAAGTAACGCAACATGAGCATCAACATAATAAGCATTAATCTGAATAAATTTGAGGTTTCTTACATGAATACATAGTCGATAAATTTATTACAACTCTTATAATTGATAAGCTTAGGATCGACTATGTGAATCATTCTTTGCAATTTTATCCGACACTTCATTAGACAAATCAGCATAGTTGATTCTTTCACATCTGTAACGTTCAAATATATTAGCAAAGAAAAGAACTAAAGTGTTGTGATCAACAAATCTACGGTCAACTGTATGAATCATTATCTTAGTTCTATACGAGTGGACCATGTTAACAGTATAACAGTCAATCTATTGATTTTTTTTTATATTTTTGCATCTTCGAAAAAATTATGTAATCACTAAAAATGAAGTGAATAAAATTCTTGTGTTGCCAAATTTGACTGAACATTAATTTCCAAAGACCATTTGCAGTGAAATCTATGAAATCAACGGTGTCCAACGAAGATTGATAGAGGCATTCAAACATGGTCAAAATGTCAAACAAAAATTATTACTTTTTTATAAAAAGTTCGAGGCACCTAATCAAAAGTTGCTTTCATGAAACTAATTCAATTAATCAAGGGATTAAACAACCTTAATCTATAGTTAATTATAATGTTTCTTTAAACATTAAACATATAAATATTGTTACTTATTTTTATAAATTCTTCTTTTTTTCCGGAGTGTTTCTATGTTTGCATGATTTGGACAAAGATTTCTTCGTAGAAATCGAAGAAATTTATTAGAAACATGGATTATTTAAGTGAAACTATGGATTTGAGTAATCCGGGTACTTAAGAAAATAAATGCTATCTGAATTTATTTCCCATACATCTTCTAGAGCATTAATTATTTTCTATATATCAATTTCTACTTAATTATATTTATTATTGTTCAAAGTCATATAGGCCAAATGTCTCTCGTACCACCGTGGTCGTATTTCTAATTTTAGTCACTAGTTAACCAACCTATAGTTAGTATCATGAAAAAATAAATAAATAAATAAATTCAAATAAGGATAGAAAATTTGCAAGAACTTGTGGGCTCAAAATTGACGCAGTTGAGGTGAATGTGTGATTAGTGCGATTTGACGTGTAGTGATACGAATAAGATAGTCCGTTTGCTAACCTCCTGATTAGCTACTACTTTCCTAGACAATTAATATTGTATCAATTGTATACCTAAATTCATTTAACCTATGAGTCGCGACGTTTTATTATAATGAAAAAGAAGGTATTGAAAGTTTTAAATGTGAGAGAGACATTAATATAGTATTGGGCCTCATTTAGAGCTGCAATCAATAAGATGAATCCCAGTTCACATAGTACGAACATCAATATGTTTACTCCTCCCATGACGCAATATTTGATATATATGTAGCTCATTATACCTGCCTATTGCATTTTTTTATTTTTATTTTTATTTTTATCAATATATATGTTTTCATTGGATCTAGCTAGTGGATATTTCCACACGAAAGGATGGCATATCACAACAAATAAAGCGTTAATTAAATAAGTTCAATTTTTGTGCTAATTCTTTTTTTTTTTTTTTTTGGGGGGGGGGGGGGGGGGGGGGGGGTGTCAAACAAATGCTCATGGAGATCCAAAAATACCTTCAACTTTGGTTTGAACTTCAAATTGATAATCTATGGTCAAAATATTACTTGGACTTCTTTAATTAGCTGAAAAGACTACTTTAAAGTTTAAAATATTATGATGACTTGGTTAATTCATGTTTTCTTAATTCATAAGGAAAGACAAAATAGTATATAAAAAAGATTGGATTATTTAGTTGTATTAGAAACACTCGATCGTCAAAGTGAATTTTGCTATTTTTTGTTCAAAAGTTTTATGATAAAGTATGCATATTTTTAATCTTGCATCTTTGTACTAAATTTATCTAATCATAGTGTATCTCTTTACTATACATGTGATTTAAATGTTTTGTAGACATAAAATAAATAAATAAAATGGATTGGCTTGATTTAAATCATTAGCTCAATTAAATTAAAGTCTACTAAAATCCATAAACCCAAAGCCCCATCTCACTCTTTATATAAATAAATAAATAAACAAATAAAAAATCATAATTACTCAATTATTCATTTTTAATTAAATATAATTGAATGATTACCAAAATTAGCACAAATTTTCTCCTATAAATAGAACCAATGGTCCATAAGACAGGGCAACGAGGGAGGAAAAAACAAGACAACAAGTGAAAGCAAAGAAGACAATCACGAAGTGCTGAAAAAAATTTAAAGTCGGAGGAAGGGAAGAAATCCTCTCAAACCTAAATTCGATGAACCCCAAAAAGACCAAACTCTTTTTCGAATCAAATAGGTCTACACCAAGTTCAAGAAAATCAAAGTCTTCTTCAAATCAAATCAAATTTAAGTATAAGTCCAAGCCCTAAAATCAAAGTGCCGAACAAGTCAAGTCTCCATAAATCAAAATTTCAACAAATTCTCAAAGACTAGGATTCAAGTCACGTGGTCCCCTTCGTCTTCAAATATTCAAATCACTCACTACAGCAAAATGTACTTTTTACGGCGTGCATTGCATGCCGTAAAAACCAATTTACTGCGTGCAGTCGCATGCCGTCTGTGAACGTAGTTAAAACCTTTTAAAATGTGAGTTTTTTAACGGTGTGCACATGCACGTCGTAAAAGATAACTTTTTTTTTTTTGCGGTGTGTAAAATGCACGCCGTAAATTTTATTTTTTTTTTAAAAATGTTTATTTATTTGATTACCAATAGTAATTACAAAACAAAATTCCATAAATATAACTAGGTTTTTCATAGATTCCATAAATATTGAGTACAGTATCAATGTAAAATTCATTTCAATACTTCTCAAAAAGTATATAGCACTTCAGAAAAAAATCATTCTGGGTGCCTTTGAAACTTCTTCACTATGCAATTACGACTTCTTGCTATTTTTCTGTCTTCTTTCCTACTGCATTTATGAGAGAGAGAAATTGTATAAATGCTAACTAACGGAAAGGTCACTGAACAGATCAAGAAAATGTAAAACGAATCTTCTGAAGCTTGGTAACAATATCCATCGTAAGCTCTAAATCTGCGGGTTCTTGATAATCAATTTTAGCTCCTTGAACACCTTTGAGACAACAGTGTTCGTGTTCTTATCAGCATAAAGAAATTCCTAGAAAATTAACATTGATCCCCTAATGATCTCTATCAACAATGTAAGAGAAATCGCATCTGTTTCCTCTCTTCTTTCCTAATATACATTCTACATGCCTTATGGACTCATAATATTAGGTGCCAAATTGAAAAGTGTACTTTTTTGGTACCTATTTCATTTTCCTAAATAACATAATTCAGGTATGTAAATTAAGATGCATAACCCGCAGTAAGTAGAAGTGAGTAGAAGGGTAAAACTGACAAGTTCAAGTACAAGCTGATTACAAGGGAAGTTCACCACTGTCTGCAATCACAACTTTGCTTTTGGTTGTTCCACTCTAGTTGCATTCGGCTTCTATCTTATACACCACATCTATTCCGGGCAGCACCTTTCCGAATACAACATGACGACCGTCCAACCTGCTGAACATTTAACTTTTGTTAGATTTTCAAGCTAAATAGAAGCACCAGACAGAAGATCTGAAAATGGATGACAGTTTTCTCATAACAGAAGGATCATAAATTGTATAGTTACCAACTGGTCGTCACAGATGAAAATTTGTGAACCATTAGTGTCCTACCCAGCATTTGCCATAAACCTAAGCCCTGAAAATTGGACAAACATAATAAGATGACACAAAGAATGCTTTCACATAGTGAAACTCAGAAATTTGAAATCATGGAGTAAGATGGTATTAAGGAAGGGGAGGTTCTGGGGCATAGGCAGTTCTCCTACCAGGTCTGGTATGTTTGATTTTGAAATTTTCATCAGCAAGACAATGTCTTTTAGAGTTTTAAATCTAAACTATAAAATTTGAGGCGCTGAACAAATAGCGTAAGTTTAAAATTTAAAGAAGGCATCTTGACTCTAAAGATCTTTAAGAAAAAGTCATTAGATGAACAATAATTAATTATGTGTATTGTTCATTGGAAAATATCAAAAATTATTCAACCACCCTTATTAATCCAGTGATACACAGGATGCACAACTAATTACTAATTACCAGTTGCATTTTAACCACACGAAAATCTCAAACTTAGCTTTTGAATGAAATTAAAGTAGGTCACAGTCAGCGGTATTGTAGGATGTCATCAAAATTAACCCACATAATAAGTCAAACCTGATCATAATGGTATAACATTTTCAATCACAGAACAATACATTGAATATTCATAACTATAAGTCAGAATCAAGAAATTACCATGTTGGTATGGCCAACTCTCTTTACTGGGGCCTTACCTAATTGCCCAGTAATTAGTAAGGAAATGAGGATCTTGACGTTTCACACAATGACATGACATTGTAATTGCAACTTCTGCATAATCCATTCCCCAACTTTGAAATAACAAGATCAACTAGCTCAATATACTTTTAAGAATCCTCCAATAAAATTAACATGTGACCTCTATATAGCAGGTTAACATGCACACGCCCATCATTGTTTAACAACATAGTACCATTAATTCACATCACAAATTGAATATAGTATACATTTATGAAAGTTACAAATAATAATACTTACCACAAAAAATAGCACTTGTTACAAGTAACAACATCACAAATAAACAGTAGATATACCAAACCAGTACAGAGAACGAAGAATGTTATAGGCCACATACAAAATCATAATTGTGACCTACTGTTCTAGTCATAATAGACTACATAACACTTTCAAAAAATTCTGACCTGAATATATTATGTCATAATTATAATCACAATTGTGAGCTAATTTCACCTTCCAGTTGTATAAGCACAATTTGAAGATACCCTACAAGCATAAAGGTCACAAACCACACTTCAGGTTACAATGTACTACACAACACGTTTACACCGTAAATGAGGGTTATATGTACGCATCTATATGAACATTTATTTATTGTTCTAATTTGATAGCTTAAATGATAGAAATTGACCCTAAAATTGGTATGCTACAGACCTTTAGTCCAAGAGTTCACCATAGTGGCTAGTTAAGTGACATTATTTTCCAATCCCGCCCAGTTAACCAGGTCAACATATCCAATTGCATCAATTAGTGGGACTTGGAACCTCATATCTTATCATCTCATCTTTTTTGCTAAAGCTAGGGTTCATTAGCTCATATTCTATAAGTTCTTCTAGAAATCAAATAAACTGAAATAAACATCATTTTTAGATTTATTAAATAAAAATCTGAGTGAATTATAAGCTACAAACTAATTGGATTATACTATCAAATTGAATTATTTATCATTTAACTACCAACCTTCAACCAAAATGCACATTAGCAAAGCTTTAGTCCCAGTTTTTGGGTATTGAACTTCCTGGCCTCCATCTACGCAATTGCAAATGACTTTATTGCCCTCACCAAGCATCTACACTCCATTGTTCAACTGTTCTCAGTGCGGCAGTGCCAACATCCAAAATAAATCTTTAAACAATAAAATTCAACAACAACCCATGTTTAAATTTTTAAATAAATATAAATTTGAAAAACATACTTAGGTTTTTCCTCAGATGCATTTCTTTCCAGTTTTCTGCAGACTCAAAATTGACAACAGGAAAAATAACTCAAATGAATGATAAATAAATGTGCATAGACAACATACATGAATGATTTGTGTCCTGGGAGGCGAGCGACGAGAGTGAGCGGCTCCGGTGGAAGGCGGAGAGAGACGAGAGTGAGGGCTGAGGCCCCATCAGTCGACGGTGGAAACCAGAGAGAGACGAGAGTGAGCTAAGGCGCATGTGGTCGGCCGTGGAAGGTGGAGAGAGAGAGAGTGAGAACTGAAGCGCCAGGGGAAATCGTGGAGAGGCGAAGTCGATGGGGAAAAGAGAATGGGAGAAATGCTGTGTTTTTAGGGCTTTGTAATGAATTTTTTGACAATATAACATGGCGTGCTTTTAGTGCAAGCCGTAAATGCCCGTTAATACAGCGAGTAGAGGATGCACGTCGTAAATGCTCTAATTACTTGATCTTTCACGGCATACATACATCGCATGCCGTAATTGGTCTATTTTTATGGCATGCAGTAAATGCACGCCGTAAATGCATGTCGTAAAAAGCTACTTTAGTTGTAGTGATTAATCAAAGGATTTTTGCAATTTTTCAATTACAAAAAGTTCAACATCACTCCTATTTCTCAAAAATACAATTTGTAACGATTTCTGTATTTTAATACACGAAATTTGCCGTACATCTATATCATAAAATTTTCATATTTCTCTCTTCTATAATTTTCCGTAATTATATTCTATATGAGTAACACATCACGGATTTAGGTATTAGTGGGGTTTCATGTTTCATTGTCCAACGTTTTAAAATATATCACACTTGTATTATACAATAAGGTAGGAGGACCTAAGATCGCCGATGATTGTCCCTATTATACTCAATACCCAAAAAAAAAATTAATAATAATAATAAATAAATAAATAAAATCACTACGAGTAAAAGTAGATATGTAATATCAAGCGGAGATTAATCATGCAATAAGCTCTAGAAATGTAATAACAATACTTTGTGCAATCATCAATAAAAGTAATTAAGTACTTTTTTTTCCATATCTAATTTTCACAAATTTCAAATCACAGATATCACTATAAATTAATTATAAAGAAGCCTTGTTCCTCTTAACCGAATGAAACGGTATTTTAACCAATTTTGTCTCAACACAAATTTCACATTTATGATTAGCATCAAATTTTGACGGAGCTATTAAACTTAAATTCATAAGTTTATGCAAGAATTTAGAATTTGAATGTCCAAATCGACTATATCATAAATAAGACAACTTAAACATATAAGCATAATTTAAAATTTTATTCATATTTGATTGATTTTGGTACAATGGTAAAGGCGTTCATTTTTAACATCCCATCACAAAGATATCCCTTTCCCATATACAACATATTCTTAGTTCAAGAACATTGCCTTGTCGACACAAATGTAGTAGATAGAACTAGTATCAACCTACCATTCACTTGGATTTTCAATGTTGTTATATTCGGAAACAACAGCATATAAGTTCATCTTTTATATCATTTAGATAAGGTGTCTCCTTCAATCACATATGCTTATACATTCATCTTAAGCTTGCTACATTCATTTGCACGGTCCTATTTTTTCATAGTTATAGCAATTGCCTTTAAACATCTTAACACTCTTGTTATTATTGGTCTTTGGTGCATCACCCACGAGCTTTCTCTTCTTGTTGATTCTTGAACTGGATTCAACTAGATTGGCCTTTGATTGTCTAAACTGTATAACAAATATCCTTTCAGTCTTTTTGTTGTCTTCTTCTATCCTTAGTAGGACAATAAGTTCTACCAAGTTCATCTCTTTCCTTTTGTACTAGAGATAATTTTTTAAATCTCTCCATAAATAACGAAGCAACTTTGAATGATTCACTTAACTTCATATTCTTGGCATGTATATCATGTCAAAGAACTTGTAGCTCTTGGACTTGACCAACGACGATTTTTGAAGTCTATTATCGTGTAGTTCATGAACTTTCCAATTATGAATTTCTTCGTGCCAACATCTTCCGTTTTGTACTTTTTCTCCAACAATTTCCAAAATTCCTTTACAAACTTCACTGTACTAAACACTCCATATATTGTGTTCTCCAATCCATTTAGGATATAGCTTTTTTATAAGAAATCCAAGTGCTTCCATGCATCTAATGCAATAATTGACTCTCAATTATTCTCTCATTGTTCGATAGGGAAATCTTTGATGAAAAACCTTGCTAAGTTCAAGATAGTGAGATAGAACAATATTTTTTTGTTGCTACTCTTGAAATCCACTCAGTTGAATTTCTCCGATTTTTCTCTATGTTGTACACGGGTATTTTAAAGTGCATCAAAAGAACCACATTTGTTGCAACATTTGTGGTTGACTAGAATTAGTCCCAACGATACCCATTCCTATTATGAAAACTGAAGTTTAACAGAACAGAGTGAAGAATGAAATTGCAATGTATTTGCTTATTCCAAAAGATAAAGAGAATCAGATAATAACAAGCAAAACGACAGAAATCTGTCTTAAACTTGTTCATGTACATGTGTGTAAATTGCAAATTATAATTTGAATAACTTAAACAAAACAAAGTAACAAATGACAAGCACACACCATAGAAAATGAGAAAGAATAATGAAGTATGTAAATCAAGGCTTGTGTTTAAAACTATTTCATTAAGATGAATTTATCCAACCAAGGTGCTTACGAAGTCTTGGCAATCATCTCCAAAGATCCAACAGTATCTCCTTGTGATAGAAGCACTTCAAACTTTAAAGATACAATGAACTCGAAAATGGATTTTCACTCTCTACTTTGAATGATTTTGATGCAAGAAAATCAAGGATTTTGAAATTTTATGATGCAAAGGATTCAAGTCATATGACACGAAATGAATTTAGAGCACCAATACAGTCCAATTTATACATGTTGAGGTTTGTGGTCGGAAAGCACACCCCAAAATTCAGCGGGTTTCATAAGACATGGCCCTTCAAACTGCTCGCTTATCACCCACCGCACCTTTCGAGTATCTTTTACAGAGACTTGGTCATTCACTGCGTTTGAGGCGGCCACTCTAGAAATAAGTTATATGAGCCAATTTCCATTTTTTTTCAACTTAACTTTGAACATCAATTTCTCATTCATTTGGAATTGGTTTTGTGAATCCAAATATACCAAGGTTATCTACTCTATGAGAAAAACTTATATATGAAACATATCTGAATACTTGCCAAAGTTGATACAATCAACATTTTATTAACCTAATTCCAACAACTTATATATACTATTATTAGTGTGAGTAGAGTAATTGTAGGAATCTTTAATTAGGAACTCTCCCATGTATAGTAAAATTTTATTCAGCCTTCTATACTCTCCCATAAATCTGTCATTACCTTGTATATGGACGAGCTCTTCCTATTTATTTGTAAGAAGTACATTGGAATGCCATACCAGCAAAATACAAAAATTGCCTCTGTTTATCTCTGCGTACGTGGACTGACATGGTATCAGAGCCATATGATCTTGAGATATCTGCCTTTTTCTCTGTTTAGCCCATTTTCTCTTCATTCTTATCCCAGCCACCAGAGACATGACCCCCTCTGGCGACCAACACCAACTACTAACATCTCATTTACTGAATTTACCTCCAAACTAACTGAAGCTTTGAACAAAACTTAAAACCTGATTGCAACAGAAACTTCTACTACTCAGATCGGCATAAAATTAGATGGTTCTAACTATGCGCTTTGGTCCCAAGTTGTCAAGATATATATCTCCGAAAAAGACAAGTTGGGATATATCAATGGTGATATTCCCCAACCATCCCTGAATGACCCGTCTTTTCACAAATGGTGCACTGATAACACCATAGTGAAAGGATCATTGATCGACTCCAGGACCCATCACTAATAGGGAATTTTCACCCCGTTTGGCCTCCATCTTTCCAAATTTTAATGGTTGGTATAGTTTTTTTTTAAAATACATGGTTGAAAAAGAATGAAACGTTCTTATTTTGCGTAAAATATTATTTTATAGAAGATTATGTGGTTGAAAATAAGAGAGAGAAAAAGAATAAGAATGAGAATGGGAGCTAAACGGGGGCTTTATCAAATTTCCAACTACAAAAATAGTTTGGGACTCCATTGCTTCTACCTACTTTGATGGGAGTGATACCTCCCAAGTTTACGACCTTCGACGACGTGTAAGTCAACTACGCCAAGTAGAAGGCCCTCTTGAAAAATACTATCTAGACCTTTAAGGATTGTGGCGTGAAATCGTTTTTCGTTGACCTAAGCCCATAAAATGCCCAAATGATATTAAAAAATATAATACATTGCTCCAGGAAGAAAGGGTGTGCACCTTTTTGGATAGACTCGATGACAAACTCTACCAGAAAAGGAGAGATGTGATTCAGCTACAACTTTTCCCAACCGTAAAGCAAGCTTTTACACTGGTTCTCCGTGAGACCATCCACCAGACTGTGATAAATGATGATAATCTGATGAAACTCCTGGAGCGATATTGGCATCCAGGAGTATTAAACTTGTCCCATCTGTTCAATCTACAACAGGCGGAAGCAACAAAAAATCTTCAAAGACTTGAACCCCTCCGATGGACAAAAATACTCACATTGTGGAAACAGAAATCATAATTGTGACAACTGCTTAAACTTCACAAATATCCTGATTGGTGACATGAATTCCAAGTAAAAAAAAAAAGGCATGATGGTACTAGTTCAAGGAAAGAATATGATGCTAGAGGAATGGGTACAGCAGCAATTGCTACTACAGATTTGCATCTTCCTGTGCAAATTCAAGTAGTGTTTTTTTCATGTTTCAGTACCTCTAGAAATAATGACAAAGATTCTTAGCTCTTGGACTCTGGTTCCACAGATCACATGACATTCGATAAAGCAGATTTCATGACAACGTCATCACCAAAAAGAACTACAATTGTTAATGTAAATGGCGAAATCTCTTCCGTAACAGGGGCTAGTTCTATAACTCTATCCCGTTCTCTACAATTATCTAATACATTACTTGTCCCATCACTCTTGCACAAGCTATTATCTGTTAGCCAAATTACAGTTGTAAAAATTGGTGTTGTGCTGATTTATCCCAAATTTTGTCTTATCTAAGATATTCTCACCAAGGAGATAATTGGACATGGTACTAAGAAAGGGGAGTTATAGTACATGGATGATTTCAGTGTGGGCCGAGTACATCATATGCAACATTCGCTCGGACACAAAGAACAACAAATCTGGTTATAGCATCGCCAATTGGGTCATCCATCCTTTAGCTACTTGAAGCATTTATTTCCTAGTTTATTTTCTCAATTGTCGATTTCAGACTTGAAATGTGACACATGTAT